ACCTCTCGTGCTTCCCATTTTTCCTGCAGTTTAGAAGTGGATATCGAGGCGCTGGATTTTACCACCGGCGGTAGTAGTTCCCGCCGGGGATTTCGAGGGTAGTAAAAAGGATTTCGAAACGGTCGATCTTGAGATGATTCGTTAGATTGACGTGCGATAGAGATAAGAAAGGTGACAATGATTACTTTCGAAAGTAAAACGATGATTGGATGTTGTAACAAATTTAAAAATTTCAACAAATTAATTTACGAATTATTTTACTGCAACAGCTCTTATTACATAGAAATATTTTAATACAAAATATTTTAAAGTATATCATATATATTTATATCAAGTATTTTTAATTGTAATTGCCGAAGCAATACATTTATCAATACTTTAAATTTTACATTAAAAAATATAAAGCAGACAAGATATAATAAAAAATCGAAAAGATTATTTTAATATTCGTCAATTAAATGAAGTAATAAAGTACGTAACTTTTTATTTAAATATCGGCAAATGAATAATTTTATAAGCGTTTTGCATTGAGACTGATAATTTCTTATCGTATTATTTTGTCCTTTTTACTGCAATTAGGAAAGAAGATTGCAGTCAAGAAGATAAGTACTTATCGAGCAAATAAGGAAAGTTGTTTAGTCCATTGAGTAAAGTGTCGCATTAAAAGACGAAGCATTAGTTGATAGGAATTCTGGCACCTGAATATGCTATTAAAAAGTTCCCTTTTTCTCATGATTCCCATCCAACTTTTTCGATACTTTGACGAACTTGAGAGTTCGTCTTAAAGAATTCTCACATGCTTGTGTGTCTACGACGAAATGGATCCCGAGTGTTCCTGTAGATGTTATTACATTTCAAGCTCTCAATGAAACTTAACCGGTAAACAAGAGTTACTTGTCCACACTTTTTCCACAAGAATACAATTTTGTATTTCATCGTGATATTGAAGTGTTTTGAGAAGTGTTTTGAGAGGAAGAAAGAGATAATGGAAATGCGTATATAACTTCATTCCTATTAGATAACTTCCTTTAATCAGATTGCATTTGGTAAATTCTTTGTGTAACATTGCTAATAAAATTTCGTATGTCTGTTTAACGAATCTTTGGGAGCTAAAATTGATGGGGAATTCTTTCGTGGTAGATATTAAAACACCCTATTAATACGAGACTCACGCACCGGCCGTTGGTCATCGATACGCAGCCGGTGGTGACGTTCGGCCCTTTAATTATCGCAGATAAATCATCGCGTCGTATCACCCCTTTTGCTTGGATAGCGCTTTTCTTTCGCTTTTATAAACAACAATACAAGCGCCAAAGTTTTTTGTGTTTAGGCTTCTGTGAACACTAAAGTGCTAATAATATTTAATAATGACATTGAAATGGATTTTTGCAATGTTCTTATTTATACTGTTTATCAGAGCTTTTAATAAGGGACGGTTTTTTTCAAAATAAATTCGCTGAGCGTCAGCGAAAAGGCCATTTCGCCATTATTATCTCGCGTTGATTTACCCTAGCAGTTAGTCATTGTTTGGAGAAGAAATGTGGCTCAACCCTACCGATTTCGTTCGTTTTTCGCGCACATTTCCTGCGAGCTGCGTATTTATTCGTGCGTACTTTGACGCCGGGCGGACGCGTATTGTTGCAAAATTATCGGCATTGTCATGCGCGACTCGATTTATTTTGTCTATTCGGCGGAAAAGTGCTTTCATTTGCGTGAAGCGACGCGGGAAGGGAGGAACATGTCAAAACCATAGAGAAGGAAAAGCAGACGGACTGTCGGGTGAACAGAAACAGACGAACGAGCGCATTGCTCGGCCCCCTGTTGTCCCCCTCGTCTGACACAAAAGCTCTTAATTCGACAATGCGACCGCCGAAAGGGGACAATAGTCCCGACTTTAGGTAAATAACGATTCCTTCGATCCTTTCGACATCAGTACTTCACTTTTCCGCCTTCGCGAATGTCATTTCACGTTGAAACATCACTAAACGGAAGCTTCGTATGCGTAAAAATTGAATGGACGAACGCGCGCACCGATCAGTGAAACGACCAGAAGCGGGATTGCTGAGCCGGGATTTTTTGGAATAAGCATTCGAGAGGAATCGTGTGGCTTTGTACGAATCCACCGAATCTCCGAGGTAATTAAGGAGGGGAAAAAAATTAGGATTATTTTTCCAAGGCTGCGCAGCGTCAGAAACGTGATTCGGCCGAGCAAACGACGAAGAATTCGGAATCGGATTAGCGAGAGCGATGGGACGCTCGATTTCGCCCTCCCGCCTGTTTCGAGCCTTTCATTTTTCGTCCCTACGGGAACATCGGCCCGGTATTTGCATTACAAATACACCTTCACCGAGGTTTTTCTCGTTTCATTAAATTCGCTTTTTCCTCGGAGACGTACCTCTTCTTCGGCCGGTCCTTCCACCGCCATGAATGTACTCTCGGATTTATTCCTTCCCTGTATAACCCGAAAGGGTTGTATTAAGAATTTTAATTCTGCGGAACAAGTTTGTCACCGAATGTAGAAATCGTTTGTTCGAAGAACGTGCGCCGAAATAAGATATCATAGCGTTAATTATTAATCAAAGAGGGTCCCAGAGACTTCTCTTGCGATCGCCACTGCTGTATAATTACTTTACTGGAAAACTGTGGGTTTTTCACGCTGATGATGATTTCTTTATGTAAACAATGAGATTTGTAAATTACTAAATATAAATATCTAAATATAAATATAAGCTTTAATATTTTCATTTCCTAACAAAAAGAAATTTTAAATAACACTGGTTCTATTTATAGTAGCTCTTATTTAATAAATAATTTAAAAAATTTGCGACATATCGTGCTGATTTTATAATCGCCTCATCCTTACCATATTCGATTTGCTAATAGTGACGTTATCTTAACAACGATATATTCCCAGTGTTATACACATAATCGTCCGGATATGGCGTTCCAGTGTTTCTGTACGCCGCGACCAGCGCCGGATTTCCGTCTCTCGATGACGAATGTTTACTTGCCGTAAATCTTTAGCTGCCGAGCTCGCCCCTGCGGCAATCGCGTTCCGTTCCATGATGATAATCGCGTACGTGCCGCACGATCCGATGCTCCGCTCAGGAACGGTTACACGGATTTATTCGTTACATGGACGTCCCGATAGTTATATCCTGACGAAATTGAGATACGATCGGATCTCTCCCTCGTGGCCGACGAGCAACGCTAACGTGAATTATGAAGCTCGCGTGCCGCGCAAGAAACGCGAGAGAGCGTCATTTTTGGCGTTGAGATATTTACGTGGGAACACGATCTACCTGAATCTTCTGATCGGTACGTTCAGGCTTGAACGCCGATGATCAATGGCCGTAAACGTGCTAGATCAGACACTTCTGGTCACGAAGTCGTTAAATCGATATTCACATTTAATGCTATCATTTTAGAATATTTCAGACTTCCTCTGGACATTCCTTGATCAAACTAAAACTTTAATTAAGATTTTTAATTAAGATTGCAAATGTTTTCTTCAAAACTAAATTAAGAACGCGGTAAACAGTAATAAAATCTTATTTTTCATTAAACGTTAAATTCTATTTAATGACTTTATTTGAATAGGTTTATAGTACTTTTGAGGATTAATTGCAAAAGTATTTAATTTAATGAAAATTATTAATAATTTATTGAAAAGTTTTGGAACAAATAATAACGTTAGATAAAAAATAAATTACTAGGTGAGAAATATTCTGTAACTTATATTCTGTAATAAACGTTTTACATCTTTATTACGTTTCGCTCGTATAATACGTTCCAACAAAATTTACAGGTAACAAAGAAATTTTACAAACTCATATAGTTCTTATATAAAGTCCCGTGTCTACACCTAGTCTGCTACGCCGTCTTAATTAAAGTTGGCTGACTTCTGGCTTGTTGCGTCCTTCGCGTCACTCGTCAGGCTTGTCCCCAAGGGTGCAATTTACTCGCATCTCTTCCTTCCATTCCTCCGCTCAACCCCCACCGTTAGTCGATTTTAGCTTACCGTGACTGTATCCGTTTTGCCTACCAACGAGCTTCTTAAATGCGACTGGCAGCGGTCTTCTTATCTTTCATCTAACGCTGATCAGCTGATTAATTTATGCGAGAGAGGTTTTAATGAAGAAAAAAAGCCATTAACTTCCGTCCGATAATCGTTCCCTATCCGTCGTCAACTTTTCCTCTCGTGTTGCTGTTTTACATAGAAATAACGGATCTCCGTATATTAATGTATTTTTTCTGACTTATTGAACTAGAAAACGGATATCTTCTTTATTACATACCAAATTTAATATGCTTCCTGGATTTTACAATACTATTGTCTGTTGTGAAAAAAGTATGAAATTATATATATATGAAAATATTACTCTACATGTATCAGAAAATGAAAAGCATAATCAATTATATATACGTGTTATATTTAAATTTTGTATGAAACACAATCCGGAAATAAATTTATGCGCATAAATCAGATAACAGCAGATGTTTCAAATCAAAATCAGTCGTAATAAAATATCTTCTTTAAGCTGTGCAATCCTTTTATAAATTGGTTAATTAAAAATCAGCGAATGAAATGCGCTTGAAACGCAATTAGAGAAGGTAAAGGGTAGCGATCGAGGGATGACATTGTCTTGAATAAGAGTTATTTCGATTGTTCCCGGATATATAATTTGAGATGGCGATTTCTCTTTGTGTACGACTATGAACTTAGATACGATGCGGTATCCTCTTTAAGGCATCCGTTGGTCAGACGTAGGGATCCTTTTTGGTCTTTACTATGTAAAACAGTCCCTGCAGTCCTTTGTCCAGGAGGCCATCGTTGAATGTTAAAGTTCTGACCAGATTGAGATGGCATATCGTTCACGTTGCGGACGGACAAGATTTTTTCGCGACACGGTCCATTCGATATTTATTTAGGAACGAAGGCGTAAGCCTTTACCCAGGGGAGTATCAGAGATTTTCATGGCACAAGAAATAGATTTCGATCTTCATTCGCGCCCTTTATTCACAAGTATTGAACTTCGCTGATTTTTTTAAATATTTGCTTATATATACTACATTAAATAAATATTACTTTATATTGCCAGTTATGTTGCAATAGTGATATAACAAAGAGCTATTGCACATTATTTATAATAATCTAGTATAATTTGCTTTTTATTTTTTAATCATTAATAGACAAAATAAAATTCAAGGCTGCATAATGCTTGATTCTGACGCGTTTTATTGACTTCGAGACTAACATTTGGAAGCGTCGGATATCGAGGCGAAGACCGTTCCCATCTTTTGCACACGCTGGCGTTATAAATGGACGCTATAAACGTGTAGGTGTCGTTTCATCGAGCGACGATGAGAGGGTGGGGGCGTGTGATCGTGGGCGCACAGGGAGACTCACCATTAGCCTGCAGGTGTTGGATATCCCAGCCATGCCATCACCCCCTCATTCCGAACGATCATGCTCAAGATGATCTCCCGACCGACAGCGTAAGTCTCGCTATCTTGCAACGGGACGAAGAGAGAAAGAGAGATAGATAGAGTAAATAATCCTCTTCCGTATATTATCCCACGGGTTCTTAGAGAAATCGTTGTTAATGGGTTCTGTAAAATAGACTCTCGTTTTAGCGGTTGACGATAAACTTGCTTTACTGTTGTTAATTATCGTTACCTCCGTACGAATTTTGTGCTCGCCTGCAGTTTGTTAATAAAATTGTCATGCATTCGTTTGATTTATTCAACTGACATTCTAATTATTCGTTTGTTCAACATAAAGAAAATAAATTTTTTTTATTGATACCCCATATGACGTAACGATTACAAACGAATCGATTCTTTCGAAAGCAATTTGTATATTTATGTGCTATTCTCTCTCGTCACGAAAAATAAGAACGTTTTTTGCGACTACTTCTTGAACGATGTCTCTTAAAAATAAAACTAAAATATGGAAAAAATATTTTTGCGATCGCTTCCAGTAAATATGCATCTATTCTACAAAATTATATTTTATCTGAGACACATCGTTAATCTAATTGGCATATTCGCAAGTTCTTTCATGAGCATATTTTCCAGCCGGCGTAAACATGGCGCTACATCCGTAATCCTTGTACGCGCACTCTTCCATCCTGTAATTACATTTATCCTCGTGGATTTGCGTACGATAGCGTTTCGGTCTGACCCGACAACCGTGTACGGACCATCGGCATTCCACTTGCTCCTCAGGATCTAATTCCGGCTGCGCAGGATAAATGAAGAACCCATCGTATACGTCTCCTTGATGGTTCTTGTAGTTGCATTTCTGCTCATGCATGTATTTCCGTCTCCTCGGCATTCTCACCATGCAGCCGTATCGCTCGAACTTGCACTGCACCAATTCGTCGGGATCGCCGTCGTAATCGTTATTAGCGATCGTTGCGGACGCAAGACCGTCGCTAATGACGTTTACGGCTTCAAACCTATCTCTATAGTTACAAAACTTCTCGTGAATACTGCGTCGCCATGGGACCGTTTGTACCCTGCAACCCGCTACAGCATACGAGCACTCTACCAAATCATCGTGGTGAAGATCGGTAGACATGTGCTGCTCCTCCAAATGCGGTCGAAACTGACACCTGAGATTATAATTTTACGATTAATGACAGTGACATTAATGGCGACAATAAGAATAACTCTTTACCTGGACTCATGCAGCACGCGCAAATGTTCCGGTATCTTCACCCAGCATCCTAGATGAGAGTACGAGCACGATTCGAGTTGTTGATCTTCCGACGGTACGGACGGCTCCCAAAACCCTCTCTCGTGGTCCAGGAAGTCATTCATCGACGGCGCGCTGGGACCATGATTGTCGTACGATTGTGGTGGCATGGGATGCGGCATGTGATGTGTCGAGGGCGGTACGTCTGTCTGTAGCGGCAGAATTTCCACATCTAACGGCGCCTTGCACGTGGGACAGCCGTAGTAGTAGGGCTTGCAGCGATGGCAGACGGTGTGCTGGTTGACACAAGAGTACCGAGGCGTGAGTTCCATCTCCATGAGGCAGATGGGACAGAGACCCTCGGTCTTGAAGCGCTCGCAGAGGTTCGGATAAAGCGTGTCCATGACCTATCGGCAAGGATGGTTATTTAATGCCTTCGATCCTTAGGGCTCTTTAGGTCTGAGATTGAGACGAATCTACTTTAGCGGAAAGAGACCACCTTACCCCGCTTCTATGCTATCGCACGAAGAGATGAAGAGAAATTACTTCGCGCTTTTTCTTTACCGGTTCGCAGGTGGTCCACGGTCCAAGTTGCTCTTTTGCTATGAAGATTTATGTGCAATTCAATATAGAATAATGGAGGACTTAAGAGGCGGAGGGTCGCGGCTAAAGTGCAAATAAGATTAGGACGAATGTGAATGGAGGTGTGCTCGTTCAGATACGATCGATTATTTAATCAAGTGTATATTCAAGTGTGTATTCGTCTTGAATTTTTGGTATCTGATAACGATCACGTGAGGAAAACATTTAGCCATTTAACTGACGTTCACAGATATGTATTATTACACGACACAAATAAAACCAATTTTCAACACTTTTCAAATAAAATTTATTTTAAATATTTTAAAATATTTTAAAATATTTTAAAATTTTTAATCATATTTAAAAGAGACTGAATTTGATAAATTGCGGATTTAATTATTTTTATCAGATATATTTCATCATTCATTAATGTTTCATAATTTATTGACTCCTTTTTATGCTAATTGTTAGATTATATTTAATAATGGAAAAATATTACTTACTTTATTTAGTTATCTTCTATTCGAAATGGGATAGAGATGAGAATCACACGCGAGATGGGGAGAGGAAAAAAATAGCTAGTGCGACACGTACACTTCCGAAAGTATGAACGTCATGTGTCATCGTCTGTCACCGTTCTCTTATCTCGCGAGACCGATAGCATGACTTTATCTGATAAAACGTTTTACTCATGATAGGGAATCGTTTCTACGTTTCATTGCGACAGAGGAAACGCTGACTGGGGGGAACAATATGCTTCGAGAAAGAGAGTAGGGGAGAGAAAAATGTGTGTTCTCGTTGCCATGCACTTCGCGTCATCGAAAGGTAACCGCCGCCGGTATTTATTATGCTCGTATATATGCGTGTGAAAAATTGGAAATATAAGGCGGGTGTGCTTTTTTGCCGACAGGTCGTTTTATTCGCTCCGTGTCTGGAATTAATTAACGATCATTCATGCGGTCTCTGCGCGTGATATTACACGAGATGTCACAGAGATTTCTCGCTCTCTTTTTCACGCACGCCTCGACCAAATTAAAATCTATATCTTCATCTCGGAAATACCGGGAAAGAATCGATTTCAAATTATTCAAAGAATCCGTAGAAAAAATGCGGGAAATCCGAGACACCGTGTATATATGTATGAAAAAAATCGCTTTTTCCTGTCGCTGTCAGACGAGTTATAACGCACGATGGATCTCCATCGCGACAGTGAGATCGCACGCTCGTTAAGCGGTGACGGCTAATTACACATGAAGAATCGACAACGTGCGTGAGTGTAATACGTACACGCACGCGTTACACATCATTCCGTCGTAATAATCTTTAAATTAAATCTACAATCAGTTTTTGCATTGCCATATATCATTGCCAAGATTTTGCTGATACCACATTATTTAATCTTGAAAGCGGTAAACTCGAAGGCATTATCTCTCGACGGGATTAATGTAATTTGCAAAGAGTGAGATATACAATTGTGTTTAGCAATCGCTAAAATGAACAAGAGAGAGGATACCAATATTCGAATTGAAATGGATTTTCTGCATTTAATGAGTACAATTTCGATAGCTAATCAAAAGCCGCAATCACTCTCTGTTAGAGAAGTATTGTCGACTAAATTAATCGTACATGGTTACATTTGATTATTATCGTTACAGGGTATGTATATTCCGCTACAATAGAACGGGTAATGAATCTTCAATCGCCGCGATTTTTAATGAGATCGTTTTAATGAGATCTTGTTAGTTAAAAACTGTGCAAAGAGATTTCGATGAGATAGATTCTATAAAATATTTTAATAAAAATATTTATAATATTATTATTTATAATTGTTACTGTTTACGATAAAAATGAGATAAATATCAGAAGAGCCGTTTAAAAAATAGGAAACTCTCTCAGATTACTCGATTTTTTTGGCAAATATCGCGCGAATAACGAAATCAGATACTTTCGTATGATATTCCACACCGGGTCTCGTAACGACCGTCCCTCATTTGAATCCCCGCGCGAACGTCGCATCAAAGATACGACTGAGCGACCCCGTGTCTCTGGGTACGAGGGTAATACTTGCTGACCATAAGTCACTTATGTAAATTTGCGAGATGGAAATATGCAACCCACAGTGATGGCATAGTGACTACGAAAAACCCCAAATTGAATGCAATATTCAACATTCCGTAACGATTTCAGTTGTTTACAATAATAATGATTCAAGAACCATTTATTAACATCTTTGTAAATAATCTTAATAAAATTCTTGTTAAAATAAACAAAACTCGTTCATCATGTGAAGTATTTTTTAACCGCTTGTTAAATTGTTTATCGATTTCGCTTATGGATTAATGAAGAACATCAATCAGCGATGTAAAGATCTGGGAAAATGTTTAATAAATTTTTTTGCGTCACTCAATTCACCCTCCACCAAGACAGGGAGACAGAAAAGTATTGAAAGAGTACAGATACGGTACCGAGGAGAAACGGGACGAAATAAGTCCGCGACGGTAGCTCGGTATTCAAGCACCCTGAGCCTCTTTCAAGACATCAATTTATTCTTGCTGCCCTTTTTTTGCGACGATATTGCGCCATCAAATTTTTCCGGAAAATCTCGCTCGTGATATTCGCACAATTTCGTTCGCCTTGTCGCAAATGTTTCGTTTATTTTCGTCCTATACACGCGACGTGATTATTTATGATGCGTCCAACTTTGAGATAGCTCGTTATGTTGATGAAAAGCACCATCGTCATCTCAGCAAAGTAGGCTACGTGTCAGGGCCAAGGAAATCTTTTATACTTAACGCCATTTTTCAAAGGTTTTCATTTGAGAACCTACTGAATATGCACATTAAAATTGTGTAATGTATCGCGCGTGTTTACATAAAATATTAATCCTATTAACATTTTCCTAGCAAGTAGAAACATTTATCGAACGTGCACGTATATATGTGTTTCGGTAATTATCGGCTTCAATCTCTGCTTGACTGTAGTCGTTCCTAAAACTGCTGATTTATCTTTCGCATACCCTCCACAATGCTAGCTATCCGCACATTAGCCACCTAATCTCCAATCGCTCGCCCCGAAAAGGCCGTGCGGCGAATTTCAGCGAGCGGTAAAGCATCGTTGATCAATAAAAGAAGCCGTTGTGCTTAATCTCGTGGCTAGCTTTGTGATTGATTCGAACATATTTCCAGCTTACGCGCAGGGCATGATCGATCTCTCTTTCGAAATCCCATCGTGCGGCCGCAATTTGATTTTGTTCAAGCTTTTTACACGAGGAAATATCATAAATTCATGGAATGGTAACATATCTTATGGAATAATAACTAATCAGTCAAATAGATTATTCCGATTAAATTAATTTTTTTTATGTTTGCGATTATTTTTCGATGAATTTTTATTTAAATCGAATTGCATCTTTCAATTTTAATATCGATGGATACGATATTTGCCTTTATAGCACAAAGCAACGCGTAGTCAGTGAGTCGAAACAATTCCCCTTGCTCTTATAAACACCGTTTTTTCTTTTCTTCGAATATCCGACTATGTTCGACAGGGCGGATTTGAATCGTGCAATATGTCGCATAATTCGGCCATTCCTCATACCACGTTTTCGAGTTTGGGGGGGAACAAACTTCGACATGTGTAGGCACGCGAGTATCGCTTGTAGTTTCATAAGTACGCAGAATACACAATTCCCCTATATTACGCGAAAGCGAAGTCACGAAACGTAAAATCGATTCAGAAGGTATCAGGATGCTATTGTTTGACGAGGGAAGACGCTTTTCCAAGATTGATAAATGCTGCCGTAAAATCGCCATATACGTCATGTGTACTCGGAAAAAAATAGGAAATTTTGTAATATTTATTTTCTCCATACATGCGAATATACGACGTCGTCCGTCAGATTTCTTTCAGCAAAGAAAGGAAGGACGCGGAGGATTTTTTGATTCTAAATAAATCACGGATACAAGGAGAATCGCAAACTCTTTTCAGGAAATTAAGCATTTTCGCGCTCTTCGCTATTCTTCGGAAACTGTTGGTGCTCGACCTCTTTTTCACCCTGGCAATTTCGCGCCTTACAAAGAAGATGCTTCTGTATTCACGACTATGATAATATCCTTCCACGAGCCTTGTTCGCACCTGCAGCCAGTCGCGCGTGTTACACGAGCTTGTAACGGAAAAGATATTCGTGAGTACGAGAAATACAACGTCCCGGATACTTTGAAAACGCCGCGCCGGCAGGTAAACCGGTCCCGACATCGCGAATATCCCGGAATAATTTTACATATTTCAGCACAGCTTGTTGAAGGTGACAAAGAAGCTTACCTGTTATCTACGCCGAGAGAAGAACATCGGGATATATGCAAAATATTTTTATCGCAAACGTTACTTTGATAAGATTTATGTATGTATGTTTGACTTGATATCACAGCCCGCTTATCTATCAGCTTTACATCCCGACAGTGTGGGAAGAGTTATCTACGATTATTCGCACGTCTGTGTTTTTACCAAGTGTATCAGTCTGATATGTCAGTTACGTACATCTCGCATAAGTTGAAGTATTTTCGTAATAACACGTTTTCAACAAGATTTATTAACGATACTTTTATTTCTAACTTGTTAACTTGTTATTTTATTAAAAGTAGTAATAATGAAATTATAATACGTTTTAAAAATTAAAGAATTACGATTAACAATGGCAGAAAAATCCGTGCAAGATTATTAATTGATTTGAAATCGATAAACTGTATTTAAAAAAAAGGAGTTTTGATATTTTTCTAATCAAAAATTTGATAAAATTAATAGATAAAGAATAATGCGCAAAGATATAAACAAATTTGGCGCCACATTTTAAAGACGAGGGTAAAGCTTCTCCAGCAGAGAGCTCCGTCGTCGGGGGCGCGAAGTCGGGGATGCAATCGATTGCGATATATCGCAAGCATCCCCGGCGCCGAAGGGTGGCAGACGCGGCGCATGCGTTCCGCTGAATGCGCACGGATTGGCCCGCGATGATGTCATGCAGTGCTCCCCTAGGTCTCTGATATCATCTGCGGGCTCTTCTGCAGTCCACACCGACCACTCGAGCGGCGTAGCCGCGTCATCGGAGATATTGCACCTGTGTGCTCGACATTCTCACGCTGTCCGGTTTGTACCGGTTTGTCGCAGAGACCCGGGCTCCGGAGCTGTACTCCGTCAGCGAAGGTGAGTTCATTCTCTATAGCTCCGCTCTTACACGATCGTACCCCTCCGCATTTCTGGACCGAGTTAAGTCGTTTCGTCATCGCACGTACACACGTCCGACCCGATGTCGGTGTAAACATACATTCACTTGCCGTATCCGATCGTCTGTCATCACTTGCCGTGACTTCACTTCTTGGTGGTAGGTGCGAAATTGCACCTGTAAGCCAGTTATCATCGCCAGTTATTATCAGTCGGATAGCGCGAGATAATTTCCTCGACAATTTGTTCCCGGCGAAAAGACTTGCGGATTCCTCTCAGGAGTTTATGCACTCTAAGTCTCGTTATGCACAACGATAGTTCTCGCAACAATAGCTGCATTCGGGTGGCCAACACGTGGGTGGCATTTTTGGATAGCAAAGCTCTATCAAAGTAGTTTCTTTTTATTTTTGTCGGCCAGTTTGTTTTAATAGAAATAATAGTTAGGCAAATTTTCAAAATATAAACGTGAAACCATTTTGACTCTTCTTTCAT